CGCCCCCCTCCGGCCGGCTTCCTGCGTGGGGTGGCGCCCCGGTGCGTGGCGCGGCCGGCAGTCTGTGTAGCCGCGGTTGCCGTGCTGGCTGCGTGGGTTTCGTCGCCATTGCCGACAGCAGCGCGTCGGTGACACTGGCTCGATAGGCCTCAAATGAGCTGGATAGGTCCTTCAGTATGATTGATGCGACTCATCTGTCAGCATATTGCCTTATTAGACCCCCATGGAAACCAATATTCCAGACAATCTGATTACGAAAAAGTCGACATCGCCGACTGATCACGTCCTCATGTTTCCAATGGCGCCGGACGGCACTGACGAGCAACCGAACCTCCGTTTGCTTAAAAGTCACAACATTGCCTGGTGGAGCGCGAACCGTCTCCAAAGAAGTTGCAACGAGCACCTATTTTCATGCTTGGCCATCGCATTAGTTTGATGGCTGAAGATTTTCGAGGAATGTTACGAAGTCCTTGGGTTGGAACGTTGATATAGGGCATTCTGCTTGCGGGCAGAAAGACGACCTTTAAGCCCTAAATAAACTGGCTTGTTTGCTGCTGAAGGCTTTTACGTAGGTGGATAAGTGAAGATCAGAAGTCTAGTTGACGGCACCAAACCTCCCTCTCAACCACGCTCGGAACTGGCCATCGTCAGGTGGGCAGAGTGGGAAGATAAAAAGAACAAGAAGAAAAATATAAAAGGAGGAAAAAGGAGATGACACGCTACGATAGGTGACACACAACCCTACACCTAGCACCGCCGGCGCTGTGCTGACGGTCTGGACTGGACAGTCCGGATGATCTGGACTGAGCTGACTGAACTGAACTGACTGACAATCTTGACTAGATTGCCCAGCACCGACAATGACATATTCAGGGTAGTGTATCGCCTTATTTTCCCCCTTTTCTCTTCCCTCTCTCCCCACCTAATGATGGCAAATGCCGAAATATCGTTTCGATAAAGGCATGATGCCGAAATATCAACGCATCTATCTCTCCATTCTCAAGATTTGTACCGGGCCAAAAATGAAGCGACGGCATCTCAGGGCACTTGCCACTTGTCGAGCCCTATCAGCATAAATTTACCTCTCGCAAGACGGGGTCGTCATGGGACCCAACACATAACGCTTTAGAGTGGCCCGTGTCTACTTCCTTGACCCCACGTATCAGGCGACGAATAATAACGTATCCATATGAACTAAAGCTCTCCGCACTCTTTTCATATGCGCCTGAAAGCTAATACGTCGTCTGTATGACTATTCTTTAGAAACGGGGAACCCTGAGTCTCAGGGCTTGCCTGCACGAGCTCCATGTACGAAGAGTCATGCAAGGGCATTGATCGGCGCCCATGGCATTCATGTATGTGCCTAGTCTGCAACACAACAAAAGAATTATGCCATTCACCCCAATTCAAGCCTATGCATATGCTTGCCGTCCCACGTTTTAGTAAATTTGACACTGCTTGCAGCCATTAGCGTGCCCTTCGTGCTATTCTCCTGACAGCTGATTGTACCGAATGAGCCCTAATAACAGTGTAGAAACAGGATGCTTCTTAGGAGATTTGTTGGACAGAATAGCTTAAATACACGCGGGTTGACTTATCGGCGTTGCATGACAGACGCTGTAAATCTGTACCATTATCCGAATCGCTGTGCACTGCTTGGAAAATGGCATGAGTTAGGGTGCAGGCCATAAGTACTGGCGCATCCCACCCCATTCAGGCCATGCCTGCTGTTGTTTCGAATCAGATCCGTGCCTGACTTCACTTACGCGTAAATCGTTGCTGATTCCGATTCACAGCGCATGAGGCTGATTCCGACTTTGAATTCGAGCAGCGCTCCGTGGTGTTCAGGTGACTTCGAATCTGATTCATTGATATGTTGTTCCACTCCGGAATTGACTCCGATGGAGTTCAGTTCAGTGACAGCAATTAAGGCGAAGCCAGTCTCATGGCCAAAGCGGTGTATAGTGTATTTGTTGTGATAAACATGTATATATATATAAATTTTATATGACTATTTTTTATATTTATTATATATATATATACATACATATATATATATATATATATATATATATATATATATATATATATAATATATATAACTGCTTTCGCTCACTGCTTGGGCAAGCAGTCTATTGAGTTTGCCCACCCTTGTTAGATCAGCCGGTAAGAGTGACTACCTCT